TCTCTCCTTCTCTCTCCCTCTCCCTCTCTCTCTCCCTGTCTTCTTCACTCCCTCTCCCTCCCTTCCTCCCTCCCTTCCTCCCTCCCTCTCTTCCTCTCTCTCTCTCCCCTCCCTCTCTCCTTTTCATCTGGGTTCTTGCCGTTTGAACCAGTGATTCCCAAATCTCAGATGAAACAAACACACGCTGCCCGTGTCGCCGCCTGCAACACGTGTGCAGACTCCACGTGTGGACCCGCTGGGGGCTCCCGGGCATCCTCCCGCCCCGGGTCCCCCAGCACCTTGTCCGGCCGCCACTCAGCCACGCATGGTCTCCCCGAGGTGACCGGTCATGGATGCCCAGAGGGAGATGCCGGCACTGGCCTGCGTTCTCGGCCCTCGCTGTGCCTGTCCGAGCGGCCCTCTCACGGCCGGACATGGTTTGCACGGAGTCTGAGGGCCTGGATCTCGGGTCCCCTCCGGCTCCCGAAACGCCCCCGTTCTCCCTCCAGTGCCTTCCATCCCCCTGGACGTCATCTCCGCCTCCAACTCGTCCTCCCAGCTGATCGTCAAGTGGAACCCGCCCTCCCTGCCCAACGGCAACCTGAGCTACTACATCGTGCGCTGGCAGCAGCAGCCGCAGGACGCCTACCTGTACCAGCACAACTACTGCTCCAAAGGCACGCGGCTGCGGTGGGAGGCTGGGGGGGGGGTGCCCCAGGAGCCTGTGTCCCAGCCCCCAGGGGACGCGGGTCAGGTCGGGGGGCCGTGACCACCCAGCGGGGTGACCTGGCCCTCCGGCGCCCCTCTCCCCCGAGCAGACAAGCTCCCCGTCCGCAAGTACACGGACGGCACCTTCGACATCGAGGAGGTGACGGAGAACCCCAAGGCCGAGTCGTGCAACACGCCCAAGGGGCCCTGCTGCGCGTGTCCCAAAACCGAGGCCGAGAAGCAGGCGGAGAAGGAGGAGGCCGAGTACCGCAAAGTCTTCGAGAACTTCCTGCACAACTCCATCTTCGTGCCCAGGTGCCGTCCGAGCAGAGTCCGTCCCGGCCGCCGGGCGGGGCTCCCCGGGCGGGCCTGTCGCCTCCCCTCCCCGCTGGTAGTGGGTGGATCCGTGACCTCGGGGCGACACCAAGTCTCCATCAAGGAGAGACAAACGCCCAGCGGCCGGCGTGGCTCAGTGGTTGTGCGTTGACCTCTGAACCAGGAGGTCACGGTTCCATTCCCGGTCAAGGGCACGTGCCCGGGTCACAGGCTCGATCCCCAGCAGGGGGGCGTGCAGGAGGCAGCCGATCCATGATTCTCTCTCATCATGGATGTTCCTCTCTCTCTCTCTCTCTCTCCCCCTCTCCCTTCCTCTCTGAGATCAATACAAATATATATTTTAAAAAATAAAAATGAAAAAATAGGAAGGAAATCCCTGTACTATTGGTTGGCTCTTAGCCAGGGGGGCTGCATCGCTCCTTTCATTCCCGGGTGACGAGTTTGCTTTTCTCTCCGTGACTCCAACCCGAGGCGGAGACGAGACAAAAGCAGTGGAGGCCCCTGCGAGCCTAAGGAGGCCCCTGCGAGCCGGGTGAGGCCCCAGCGAGCTGGGTGTGTGTGTGTGTCTCTCCTTTGCAGGCCCGACAGGAAGCGCAGGGACGTGGGGCAGATCTCCAACACCACCCTTTCCGGCCGGAGCAGGAACAGCACGGTGACGGACCCCTTCAACAGCACGGACTCGGACGACAGGGAGACGGACTACCCTTTCTTCGAGAGCAGGGTGGACAAGAAGGAGAGGACCGTCATCTCCAACCTGAAGCCCTTCACCCTCTACCGCATCGACATCCACAGCTGCAACCACGAGGCCGAGAAGCTGGGCTGCAGCGCCTCCAACTTCGTCTTTGCGAGAACCATGCCTGCAGGTACGGCGCGATCCAGCTGCACCCTCCCCGAGACTCCCTGCTTGTTACAGAATGGGGGCTGCCGGGCCGGCGTGGCTCCGTGGTTGAGCGTCGACCTAGGAACCAGAAGGTCAGGGTTCGATTCCCGGTCAGGGCACATGCCCGGGTTGCGGGCTTGATCCCCAGTAGGGGGCGAGCAGGAGGCAGCCGATCAGTGATTCTCGTCACTGAGGTTTCCGTTTCTCTCTACCTTCCTTTCTAAAATAAATAAAAATATATTTATAAAAATAAAAAATAAATAAAAAAGAGTGAGTGCTCATCTGGGGGCGGCCTGGTAGACCCCTCCTGGTGACATCACTCCCATCCCCAGAATCTACGCACAAAGTACAAAAGAGCATGGAGGTCACTTCAAGGTCACCGCTGCTCCCCCGGCTGGGTTCAGGGCGCGCATTTCCATGGCCTTTCCCCATCTGTGCCAGGTCCCTCCTGAGTCCTCACAGCTTCAGCGAAGTGCCAGGTCGCTGCCTTGGCTGCGAGTGACCTTCACTCCCCAAGGTCATCCCTGGAGCCGCCCTTGGTCCTCCTTGTTGGGTCTTCTCCATCCCCTTGTAGGTCAGAAGCTGCCTGTCGCTCAGACAGGCGCCCAACCATCTGTAAGGATGGATGCAGCCCTAGCTGGTTTGGCTCAGTGGACAGAGTGTCAGCCTGCAGACTGAAGGGTCCCGGGTTCGAGCCACAGTAGGGGGCGTGCAGGAGGCAGCCGATCCATGAGTCTTTCTCTCATGGATGTTTCTCTCTCTCTCTCTTCCTCTCTGAAATCAATAGAAATAAAAAAATTTAAAAAAAATTAAAAGGATGGGTGCGGTGCCCAGTTCCCGGTCTCGGAGGTGGCAGGGGGTGGCCGAGGCTGGCATCACGTGACTCACAGGCCATCACATGACTCACAGGCCATCAGGTGCCTCCGCCTCCCAGACCGGTGCTGTGTGCGGGCGTCCAGCTCACGGGGACTGTGTGGTCGCCGCCCTCAGTCCTGGGTTGGAGGAGGGCGCGCGTGGGTGAGCCCAGCATTGGCATCCCTCCCGGGGGACCGAATCCGACTTCGTTGCTTGTGTCTAATGGTTACACAGACGGAGCGGATGACATTCCCGGGCCGATAACCTGGGAGGTGAAGCCTGACAACACCATCTTCTTAAAGTGGCCCGAACCGGAGAATCCCAATGGACTGATTCTCATGTACGAGATAAAGTACGGATCGCAGTCGAGGTAAGACGGGGCCGGGGACCGTGTCCGCGTGTGTCTCCTTCCCAGGAGACCAGGGGTTCCAGTACGGCACAGGCCCTTCCCGCTTAGCTTGACTTTAAATAATAAAATAAAGGCTGAGCCTGGCCGGCGTGGCTCAGCGGTTGAGCGTCGACCTGTGAACCAGGAGGTCCCGGTTCGATTCCCAGTCAGGGCACACGCCTGGGGTGTGGGCTCCATCCCCAGTAGGGGACGTGCAGGAGGCAGCCGAGCCATGATTCTCTCTCATCATTAATGTTTCTCTCTCTCTTCCCCTCTCCCTTTTTCTCTGAAATCAATAGAAATATATTTTTTTTTAAAAAAACAAAAAACTTGGGTGCCTTTTAAGCAGTGATTCTCAACCTTCTGGCCCTTTAAATACAGTTCCCCATGTTGTGACCCAACCATAAAATTATTTTCGTTGCTACTTCATAACTGTCATGTTGCTACTGTGATGAATCATGTAAATATCTGATATGCAGGATGGTCTTAGGCGACCCCTGTGAAAGGGTCGTTCGACCGCCAAAGGGGTCGAGACCCACAGGTTGAGAACCGCTTCTTTGAAGGCTTGCTTTCTTCCCTTCTATTGTGAATCAGGATCGCGGGCAGGTGGGAGGGAGAGGCTGGGCTGAGAGAGCCGCCCGTTGTTTCTCGCGTGTCTGTGGGAGGTCGCCACGGATCTGTCCCCCTCCCCCCAGGACCAGCGGGAGTGCGTGTCGCGGCAGGACTACCGGAAGCACGGCGGGGCCAAGCTGCAGAAGCTCAGCCCGGGCAACTACACGGCCCGCATCCAGGCCACCTCTCTGTCGGGGAACGGGTCCTGGACGGAGCCCGTGTTCTTCTACGTCCAGGACAAAGGTGAGGCCGGGGGAGGAGCCGCTGGGAGGCGGGAGAAACGCAGGCAGGGACTGGGGAGGCCTGGGTCGTCCTGGCCGTTCGCGTCTCTGTCCTGGGAGTGCCGGTGACAGGGCCGAGCCGGGGCTGCAGGGAGCTCAGGGCTCTCGGACTCCTAACTGGACTGTGATGTCCGGGGAGAATTCAGAGCTACTTGGGCCAGGGGTGCCATGCTGCTATTCTGTGTGTGTGGGTGTGTGTGTTTTATATTTTTACTGATTTCAGAGAGGGAAAGAGAGAGAGAAGCATCAGTGATGAGAGAGAATCATGGCTCGGCTGCCTCCTGCACGCCCCCTACTGGGGATGGAGCCTGCAACCCAGGCACGTGCCCTGACCGGGAATCGAACCGGGACCTCCTGGTTCATAAGTCGACACTCAACCACTGAGCCACACCAGCCGGGCTATGTGTGTGCGTGTGTTTTAATTGTCTGTGGCACTGTCTTAAGACAGATAAGAAGGCCAGTACGGCTCGAGCACTGGATAAGTAAGAATCGCTCTGCATTTTATTTCAGCAAATGCATGCATTTCCCTTTACAGTCGTTAAGCTGCAGACAAAGGCTGTTTTGCTGGAGCCCATCATGTGAACTGTGATTGCAGAGTACCCTGTACTTTAAAAAGAAAAACGGGCCCCGGCGGGCGTGGCTCAGTGGTTGAGCGTTGACCTTTGACCCAGGAGGTCACGGTTCCATTCCTGGTCAGGGCACATGCCCAGGCTGTGGGCTCCATCCCCAGTAGGGGGCGTGCGGGAGGCAGCCGAGCCTCGACTCTCTCTCATCATTGATGTTTCTCTCTGCCTTTCCCTCTCTCTCTCTAAAAATCAATGGAAAAATATCCTCGGATGAGGATGAACAAAAAAAATGAATGAGTGAATGAATGAATGAATGAATGAAAGAAATGAAGCGAGTAGCCTGTTCACCTCGTGACCTTTGACCCTTGCCCCTTGCAGCAGCGTTTGACAGCCACGCCCACCTGGTCATCGCGCTGCCCATCGCCATCGTGCTGACCGTCTTGGGGCTGGCCCTCACGCTGTACATCATCCACCGGAAGCGGTGAGTGGCGCGGGGAGGAGACGCCCAGGTGGGTGTCCGGTGCTCGGGGGCGACGGGGTGTGAGTTCAGGTCAACTTTTTGAGGGAACAGTTTGGGGCTCGGAAAAGCTGGTTTTCCAATCCGATGTGCTTCCTGGGAACAGAGAATGTTTTGTTTGTTTGTTTGTTTATTTTTGGTGAATCTTCACTCGAGGATATTTTTCCATTGATTCTTAGGGACAGTGGATGGGGGCGGTGGGGAGAGAGGAACACTGATGTGAGAGAGACACATTAATGGGTTGCCTCCTGCACATGCCCCGACCCAGGCCAGGATCAGGTTTGCAACCCAGGTACGTGCCTTCAACCGGGAATTGAACTCAGACCCCTCGGTTGGGGGGCCGACGCTCTGTCCACTGAGCCAGACCGGCCAGGGTGAGAATGTTTTCTTATGATTCAACAACGACACCATTTTTCTGATGGTGACGTCGTCCCCTCACTGGCCACTCAATCACACAGACACTGCTGCCCTGCTAAGCTTCCCCAAGCCTGATCTGTTAGCCCTGTCGATCCAGTAACCCTTTCTGTTCATTTCCAGTGAAGTTCAGAGATGAATGTTTCTTTTAAGACTCTAGTCTGGCCTGGCTGGCATGGCTCAGAGTTTGAGCATCGACCTATGAACCAGGAGGTCACGGTTTGAGTCCGGGTCAGGGCACATGCCCGCATTGTGGGCTCGATCCCCAGTGTGGGGCGTGCAGGAGGCAGCCGATCCATGATTCTCTTTCATCATTGATGTTTCTATCTCTCTCTCCCTCTCCCTTCCTCTTTGAAATTAATAAAAATATATCTTAAAAATTAATCAATAAAGGCTCTAATCTGCCCTAGCCGGTTTGGCTCAGTGGATAAAGCATAGCTCAGGGACTGAAGGATCCCGGGTTCGATTCCTGTCAAGGGCACGTACCTGAGTTGCAGGCTCGATCCCCACCCCAGGAGGCAACCAATCCATGTGTCTCTCTCACATTGATGTTTCTCTCTCTCAGTCTCTCCCCCTCCCTTCCGCTCCCTCAAGGAAAAATATCCTCGAGTGAGGATTAACAAAATAAATAAATAAACAAATAAGGCTCTCATCTGAGGGCTCCATGCTCCGCTCACTCTTTCTCCGGGAGCCGAATGAAACAGAATGAATAAAATGGCGACAACAGAGATGCGAGCCTCTACAGAAATGCGTGGGGATGGATGGGGTTTTTTCTTTGCCTAACGTGTCCCCCTTTTGGCTGGCGCAGTAATCGGATGGGCAATGGAGTGCTGTACGCCTCTGTGAACCCGGAGTATTTCAGCGCGGCCGACGGTAAGCTCAGCTCCCTGCGTGGGGGCGCCGGTCCGGCCGTTTGCGGGAGGGTGGCTCACCTAGGGGAGGGAGAGGTCTGCATGATTTGGAGGTACTCCGTCTTCGGTAACACTTCTTTATATGAAAAAAAATCAAAGTTCTTAGCAGTTTGCTGAGTATCTCAAAAATCCCTCACTGCCCAGCCGGTGTGGCTCAGTGGTTGCACGTCAGCCCGTGAAACCTTCACATTCTTTCTTGCCCTTTGTCTTTGAAATCCAGGGTGAATCTTAGACTTACAGCATGTCTCCAGGTGGACTGCTTTCTGGGTCTTATTTCTCATTATTTTTTTTAAACGTATCTTTATTGTACATGGTATGACCGATGTCCCCTTTGGTTTTTTGGGTGTTTTTTTTCCCCATTGACACCCCCCAACCACCTCCATTCCGCACCCAGAGCTCTTCTTATGTGCTGTTAGTATCCTTGAATTTTCTGGGGCTCCTTGAGGATTTGAAATGCCAGAATTTGAGGGCACGGTTGCCTCCTGGAATCCACAGCACGTGGGACATTACGGGACAAGCCCAGTCGCTGCCCCCCATGTCCTCCTAGGCTGGCTTCGGGAAGCGGCATGGAGCATTCTTCTCCCCAGAGGTTCCCCCCCAAATCACGTGCTGCCCAGGCAGGCGCCCGTGGCTACCCCCCCTTCAGCTCCCTTTTCTCCCTCCGCAGTGTACGTGCCCGACGAGTGGGAGGTGGCCCGGGAGAAGATCACCATGAACCGGGAGCTGGGCCAGGGCTCCTTCGGCATGGTGTACGAGGGCGTGGCCAAGGGCGTGGTCAAGGACGAGCCGGAAACCCGGGTGGCCATCAAGACCGTCAACGAGTCGGCCAGCATGCGGGAGCGGATCGAGTTCCTCAACGAGGCTTCGGTGATGAAGGAGTTCAACTGTCACCACGTGGTAAGAGCCGGCGAGGACCACGGGGAGGACCACGGCGAGAGAGGCCACGCCTGTGGGTTTGGCGACTCGCCCCCCCTCCGGTGTCCAGAGCCCTCCCCCCGTCACCGCCTCACTGCTGCCCCCAGACACCTGTGCACACTTACGCTCTGGGTGTGGCAGGCTGTGGCCGTGAATGATGTAAATACCCAGATGGCCCTTGGCAGGAAAAAGGTTCCCCACCCCTGACACGTGGAGGGTTGGCCCAGGCGGTGGAGGCGCACCCGCCCCACATGGGTGCTTCTCTGAGTCCTCCTCTCTGTCTCCCTCCCTCCCTCGCTCCCAGGTGCGTTTGCTGGGCGTGGTGTCCCAGGGCCAGCCGACCCTGGTCATCATGGAGCTCATGCCCCGCGGAGACCTCAAGAGTTACCTCAGGTCTCTGAGACCGGAAATCGAGGTGGGTTTTGGTTTTGCTTGTTTGTTTGTTTTTAACATATATGGGTTTTTGTTGTTGTTTAACCCTCACCCATGCATATTTTATTCCATTGACTTTTAGAGAGAGTGAAGGGGGAGGGAGGGACAGAGAGAAACACCGGTTGGTTGCCTCCCACATGCCCCCAACCAGGGCTGGGAGCCGGCAACCTAGGTATGTGCCCTTGACGGGAATCGAACCCAGGACCCTTTCGTCTGCAGTGTGCCGCTCTATCCACTGAGCCAAACCGGCTGGGGTGGGGTTTGGGTGTTGATTGATGTCACATGTGATACGTTCTCCTTTCCATGTCTTTGAATCTGTCTACATTGAACGCTTGGTCGTAGATCCTTTCTGGGGCCAGTTCCCTCCCGCACTGCCACCTCCCCCTGACTCCACCCAGACACCCACGTCAGCACTGAGCCCTCCCTGAAGCCTGGCCTGTCCCAACTTCGTGCACCCGTCCCCCCCCAACCCCCCGCCTCAGCCTCCCCCCTACACACACACACACACACACACACACACACACACAGGCCCCCTCCCTGCCCTGACAGCAGTCTGTGCCCTTGAGACCAGGAAGCTGAACTTGTCAAACTCTGCCTGAAGTTCAGACTCCATCCTATGCTTTGGGGTGATGACCTTGCAGGATTTTAGCGCCATCCAAAAATGAAAACATCAATCTCTGTTTTGAGCTTCAAATCCTTTTTATAAAAAAAATACATTTTTTGATTTTTTTAGAGAGAGAGAGAGAGAGAGAAACATCATCAATTGGCTGCTGTTGGTAAATGTTTCCCAAAATCATGCTTAATAGAAAAAGACATTTTAATTTTTTTCCTATTTCGCTTTCCGAAGCAATGGCTAGCACCCAAGGTTATCTTAGCCAAACTTTGGTTATCATAAGATGTTCTCCGGTAATTTTTAAATAAAACATTAAGTAATCTCCTTGCGGGAGAGCTTACAGCTCTGCCCTCTCCTGCCACCTTTGAATCTCTCCGCACCAGAGGCGGATTCGGCAGCGGGGTTTCATTTCTTATTACAGATTTTAGATTCCAAATACAAATTAAGATTTTAATTTGGACAAGAAACCACATTGAGGTGACCATGGCACCTTTTTTTTTTCAGCCTGATTTAAAAGGGTACCTTTTAATATTCCAATTTCTTTATAATTTGGCTTTTTTGCACAGGTGATTCTATTAACGGAGAACTAAACATTTCAGGGTTAGGACATGGAGGGGGCCATGAAGGCCATTTCTTCCAATTTTTTTTTCTTTCTGCTCCTCTTTAGGAGCGGAGGGTGCAAGGGGAGGAGATTTATCCTTCTTGGCCTCTCCTAAAGGCTCTAGCAAATAAAATACTGTGTTCCACAGGGGAAACAATTTGGAGGCAATTTTTTTCCCTGCTGCTGGCCTTGTTTTTTTTTTTTTTTCAAGTTCTGACTAACTTTTTGGCAAACATTCAAGATCTCATGTACCTTTTTCAAGAAAACAAGGGTTATGTTCTATAATAACATGCAAAGACTATAAGAGATTACCTTCTAGCCAGGACTGGTTTGGCTCGGTGGATAGAGCGTCGGCCTGCAGACTGAAGGGTCCCGGGTTCGATTCCGGTCAAGGGCATGTGCCTTGGTTTCGGGCACATCCCCAGTGGGAGGTGTGCAGGAGGCAGCTGGTCGATGTTCCTCTCTCATGGATGTTTCTAACTCTCTGTCCCTCTCCCTTCCTCTCCGTAAAAAAAGAAAATCAATAAAAATATTTTTTTTTAAAAAAAGAGATTACCTTCTAAAATTTTAACTCCTTAAGCATGCAAATCAAAAGTCTGTAATAAAGTTCCTTACTTTTTAAAAGCCGAATCCTACCCCTTTAGCCTGGTTAAGAAAAGGTTCCCACCCCGCCTACAGATCCGGACTTCTGTAGCCGATTGTGGGCTTTTGTGTGGGGTGAGATAACCCCCCACCTTTATGGTGCCTACCGTCCGGGTGAATTCTTTGTTCCTCACTTTGCCGGTGAAACTTCGTTTTTTTTTCGCTCTTGCGAAACCTTCACTTCCAGAGTTCCCGTCGGTCGCCGGAAGTCGTAAATGTTTCCCTCCACGTGCCGCGTGGCTCAGGGTTCAGGATCTGGAAGAGGAGCCGCACACAAATGAAAGAGAAAAGACACGAGATAATTTGGAAATATTTGGGGAACCGGCAGGTAAGTCCAACTCAGGAGGAAGTCTTTTCTCTTGTCTTTTCTCTTTCATTTGTGTGCAGCTCCTCTTGCAGATACTAAACCCTGAACCGCGTGGGAGGTGGAGGGAAACATTTACGACAGGCTGACTCCTGATTGGCTGCCCTCCTGCACGCCCCCTACTGGAGAGCCCGCAACCAGGGCATGTGCCCTGATCGGGGCTCGAACCGGTGACCTCATTGTTCCTGGGTCGATGCTCAACCACTGAGCCACACCAGCCAGGCGTGAGCTTTAAATTCTAAATGGGCTGAAGTCTGTGCCATTATCATAAGTCACCCTGGTGCACCCCCCCTCCTGTTGTGCGAACCCACGAGCTCACTTGTTAACACACGGAGGCGTGACTTTTTTCTTTTTTTAAATGTATTTTATTGATTTTTTTACAGAGAGGAAGGGAGAGGGATAGAGAGCTAGAAACATCGATGAGAGAGAAACATCGATCAGCTGCCTCCTGCACATCTACTGGGGATGTGCCCGCAACCAAGGTACATGCCCTTGACCGGAATCGAACCTGGGACCCTTCAGTCCGCAGGCCGACGCTCTATCCACTGAGCCAAACCGGTCAGGGCGAGGCGTGACTTTTAAGTGAGTGATTCTGAGAACAGACCGGTAGATGAATACTTAGAAGCAACAGCTGGAACATCTGTCTGTCCTTTGGTGACCTCGGTGGGACGGGGTGCTCACTGCGACCCTGACTTTGCTACGTGCCCAATAGCTCTGATGGGGCTGCTGGTGTTCCCAAAACACTCCCGTACCCCCCCTTCCCCCACCCCTCCCTGTCGGAGTCTCTGTCTCCCCGTCTCTCTCGGTGCTTAATCTTTTGTTTTCTTTGAATGCGCAGTTTAATCATCTTCCAGGTAGCAGTTCCTTCATTTCAGTTCTGAGTATCTGTCCCCATGTGGCTTCTTCAGTCACAGCAGATAGAGGAAGCCACATGGGCACAGACGCTCAGAACTGAAATGAAGTTCTGCGCATCCTTCAGCTGGGCCCAATGCGCTTGGTGGTTCTGGGAGGGCCACGAGTGTGGGCAGAGGCCACGCCCACCCCCTGCTCCACCCAACAAGGGGCCCCAGCGCCCCTGTTCTGTCCGACTCGAAATAGCAAAGGCTGGTCCCCAGTTGCGCCTGTGGGTGTTTCTCTCTGCAGCCCTGTGTGATGTGGTCAGCCGGCCGGCAGCGCGCGACTTGATCTCGAAGCAGATGCTGTGGTCTCCGCAATAACACAGTCCTTCTTCTCCTTTTTATTTTAAAAAAATATATATTTTTATTGATTTCAGAGAAGAAGGGGGAAGGAGAGGGAAAGATAGAAACATCAATGATCAGGGAGAATCATGGATTGGCTGCCTCTTGTGCATCCCCTACTGGGGATGGGCCCCGAAACCCGGGCCTGTGCCCTGACTGGGAATCGAACCGTGACCTCCTGGTTCATTGGTCGATGCTCAACCACTGAGCCACGCCGGCCGGGCGAACACGTTCCTTCTGAACAAGGCCCCATTCCTGAGCGGAATACCCCGTGCGGCTCAGACTGAGCAAAGATGGGTTTGCAAACCTCGAAAAACGCCTAGATTCTCACGTGAATTGCTGTTTTTTTGCGTCTCCGACAGAATCACCCCGTCCTCTCACCGCCAACCCTCAGCAAGATGATCCAGATGGCCGGGGAGATCGCGGACGGCATGGCGTACCTCAACGCCAACAAGTTCGTCCATAGAGACCTTGCTGCCCGGAACTGCATGGTGGCTGAAGATTTGACCGTCAAGATCGGAGGTGAGTCCCTGGCTGCCAAGATCTGAGCAGGGCCTCGACGCGCGCGTGTTTTAGGGGGCGCGTCGGGGTGGGCCCCCCCCCATGGGGAGGTTTTCCCGTGTATCTCGTGGGCGCAGAGGCTTGCTCTTGGGAGTAACGTCTTCGTCTCCAGGTGACAGCCAATCACAGGCCCGGCCTGGCTGGTTTTGATCCTGACGGCGCAGTGGGCACGCAGTCCAGGTCATGGGCTGGGCTGGGCGGAGGCCAAGGCCCCTCAGGTTGCCTCTCCTGGGATTTGGGGCCTTTCTTGGCAGGACAGGTCTAAGCATCGGTTATGGAAATCATCGAGACAGCGTTCTCGGGCGACGGTGACTTAGGGAATAATAGTTGCCATCCAAAGTGCCAACTTTGCCCGGCCGGTGTGGCTCAGTGGTTGGGCACTGACCTCTGAACCACGAGCTCACGGTTCGATTCCCAGGCCAGGGCACATGCCTGGGTTTTGGGCTCAATCCCTCTCCCTTCCTCTCCGAAATCAATCAATATATACAAAGTACCAATAATTTCCCTCCAGTTTTCCTTTTTTAAAAAAACTATTTTTTTAAAACAAAAGATTAAGCACAGAGACGAGCTACAGAAACTCGTGACCGGGACTCGAACCCTGACCTCCTGGTTCAGAGGTCGACACTCAACCACTGAGCCACACCGGCCGGGGCGAACGAACGTTTGCCGAGATCGGCCCTTTCTCCTGGGAGGAGCCGGGGAGAAAGAGTCACTGTCAGGAAGGCTACATCACCGAGTGGGAAATCAGTCTGACAAAGAAGCAATCACGTAGGGTTATAAAGCCAGCCTGCCATCAAACGTAATTACGTGACATCTTCTAGAGGCAGGGGAGATGGGAGAAATTTTCGAAAACGAGGGGGCGTATCTTGTTGAGAAACATTAGTGAGTAATTGCGTCAGGGGCCTGGTCGGTAGCATCTCTTGGGATTCTCGCTGGGTGCTTTTTTTCATCGTGAATCGGCGCTCAGTATTCCCCCGATTAGACTCTGAAACCGAGTTCCTTCCTGTGGGGCAACGCCGTGCTCCTGCTTTCCATCAAGTTCAAAACCACCTGAGCCCGGCTGGTGTGGCTCAGTGGTTGAGCATCGATCCAGGAACCAAGAGGTCGTTGGTTCCATTCCCAGTCAGGGCATTTGCTGAGGTTGCGAGCTCGATCCCCAGTAGGGGGCGTGCAGGAGGCAGCTGATCAGTCATGTTCCTCTCTCATCGATGTTTCCATCTCTCTCTCTCTGTTCCTTCCTCTCTCTAAAAATCAATAAAAACATGTTAAACACACACACACAAAAAAAAAAAAAAAAACATGTGAGAATGACCTTCAGTCTACAGAATATATTTTTTCTTTTTTTTTAAATATATTTTTATTGATTTCAGGGAGGAATACAGAGGGAGAGAGAGAAACATTCATGATAAGAGAGAATCATGGACCAGCTGCCTCCTGCACGCCCCCTAATGGGGATCGAGCCTGCAACCCAGGCATGTGCCCTGACCAGGAATCAAACCTGTGGCCTCCTGGTTCATAGGTTGATGCTCAACCCCTGAGCCACACCGGCCGGGGGCTGCCTCTCATTGAAGTGCAATAAGGGATTAACTTTTTTTAAAGAATCAAAGTGAAAGTGTATGTAGCAGAGCTTTCCTGGTGTTTGCGTGGCATGTGGCTCATCGCTCGTGCCTTGTGGGTTCTGCCGATGGGATTGCAGACCCTCCACTCGGCCCCAGGGATGTCCCGTCCGTGCTTGTAGCAGGGATGTCCCGTCCGTGCCTCCTCCCCGCCCCGCAGACTTCGGCATGACTCGCGACATCTACGAGACCGACTATTACCGGAAGGGCGGGAAGGGGCTGCTTCCTGTGCGCTGGATGTCCCCCGAGTCCCTCAAGGACGGCGTGTTCACCACCCACTCTGATGTCTGGTAGGCGAGACGGTCCCCGGAATGCACGCCCCACTGGCCTCCACTGACCCACACCCCCCCCTCTTTGGCTCAGCAGAGAGAGCCAGGGGCGGAGGGTCCCCAACTGGGAGCTGTCAAGCGGCTTGATTGTCCCCAGTGCACTTGCCTGGGGTCCAAGTTCAAGGGCCCCTGAACCTCCCTGCCCTTTAGTGTCCTGCGCTCTGCACTGACTCAGTGACCAGGGCCGCACTGATCTGCAGGAGACGTGGCGGCAGCCAACGAGGACCGATGTTGCACGCGTGGCGCGGAGCCTGGCTCGCTGGGCCGCCCAGCGGGCCGTCCCCTTGGCGGGGGGCTGGGGGACGTGGGGGTGGGGGTGGGGGTGGAACAGAGTGTTGGGAAGCGGCGGGCACGTGGTTCTGTGCACCCGTCAAGGCCTCACGTCTGCCCCCTCCTCTCTGCAGGTCCTTTGGCGTCGTGCTCTGGGAGATCGCCACGCTGGCCGAGCAGCCCTACCAAGGCCTGTCCAACGAGCAGGTCCTGCGCTTCGTCATGGAGGGCGGCCTTCTGGACAAGCCCGACAACTGCCCCGACATGCTGTACGTGTTCCCGGGCCCCTCGGCGCTGGGGGGCGGGGGGTGCAGGGGGGACGAGGCCCGTCCTGCACGAGGACCTGCGCCTAGGCGGCGGCGCCTCCCTCCCGCCCCGCCTTGGCAGGGCGCACTGCGGCTGCTCAGGCTGACGTCTCTGTGAAATGTTTCACGGATGCCACCCATGCTCACCTTCTCCGCGCGGAGTTGGTTTTTTTTTTAATAAGGCCACACGACATCGGTTTCTGTGTTTTTTAAAAAATATATCTTTATTGATCTCAGAGAGGCAGGGAGAGGGAGAGAGAGATGGAAACATCCATGATGAGAGAGAATCATGGATTGGCTGCTTCCTGCACGTCCCCTACTGGGGATCGAGCCTACAACCTGGGCATGTGCCCTGACCGGGAATCGAACCCGGGACCCTTCGGTCCGCAGGCCGACACTCTATCCACTGAGCCACACCAGCCAGGGCTGCACGGCGTGCCGTGGCTGTGATCACCACCTCACGCACGCAGTAGGTACGCGGTGTGCAGGCCGGAGCGGGCAGGGCTGTGGTCCCCCAGCCCCCTGGGCCCGTGTCTGAACGAGGCAGCTTATCTCCGGGCAGCAGTTCCATGTAGTCTCGTCCCTACTCGGGTGCAGGGCTGTGTACGCCCTCCCCCGCCCCCACCAGCGGGGAGTTCAGTGAAGGACGCTCCGACGCACCAGAGCTGACCGGCTGTAGAAAATGTGCTTTTTCTAAAGACGAGTTCCATCAGCTCATAAATCCTCCTAGGATCTGCTGCAGACTTAGCTTGTGGAGAGGGTGTGAACAGGTCTGGAATCCCGCAGCGTCCGACAGACTTCCTTTTAGGGACAGCGCTGTGCTGGGCGGGCTGGGACGCTGGGATGGTCTGAAGGAGGCATCAGGCCCTGGCCGCTGTCGCTCAGTGGATGGAGCGTCGGTCGGCGGACGGAAGGGTCCCAGGTTCGATTCCGGTCAAGGGCACGGACCTTGGTTGCAGGCTCGATCACGGGCCCTGGTCAGTGCGGCACCCGGGGCTCACCAGCTGGGCACAACGGCCCATGTTTCGGGCCCACAGGCCAGATGGTCTCTGTTCCGATGCCTCCGCTCCCCGTAGGAGCTCGAGAGCAGCCGCAGACACTAAACAAACGAGCCTGTTCCTGTTGCCACTAAACTGGATTTATTAGAGCCGGCGGCAGGCCTGGCTCCCACACACCCCTCCCTCGGGGTCACGTCCGTCTGACCTCCCTGACCCCTTTCTCCCCACGCCTTTCAAGGCAGCCGGCCTGGCTGGCCTGGGAGCTGTCTCTTTGCAGCCTGCGGTCTGTGCCCCACCGCTTCTCTCCCTGGGGCCACAGGGTGGTCTGTTGGTCAAGTGGTCACCCCAGCAGATGGCGGGAAGCCATTTCGGGGTGCTTTGATCTTCCTAGATGTGAGGAGCTCCAGTTGGCCTTTTTAAAAAAATATATTTTACTGATTTCAGAAAGGAAGGGAGAGGGAGAGAGAGAAACATCAGTGATAAGAGAGAATCATGGATCGGCTGCCTCCTGCACGCCCCCTACTAGGGATGGAGCCTGCAACCCAGACATGTGCCCTGACCAGGAATGGAACCGTGACCTCCTGGTCCATAGGTCGATGCTCAACCATTGAGCCCCACTAGCTGGCCTAAACATGAATTTTTAAAATCTTCCTCTCAACATCTGCACGTGTAGCCTTGCAGACAGGAATCAACAGCGGACCACGTGCCCGGCTGGTGTGGCTCAGTGGGTGACAGTTGACCTGTGAACCAGGAGGTCACGGTTCGATTCCCGGTCGTGGCACATGCCCGGGTTGCCGGCTCGATCCCCAGTAGAGGGCGTGTAGGAGGCAGCCGGTCCATGATTCTCTCTCACCATGGATGTTTCTCTCTCCCTCTCCCTTCCTCTTTGAAATTAATAAAATATATTTTTTTAAAAAAAGAAAAGAGGGAAAGCCAGAGACTCGGAGAGGGCACAGAACCGGGACCGGCATGCCGGTTGTGCCCGCGGAGGTGGGCAGAGCGAGCGTGGGCCCCGGAGCTGCTGGGCCGGGTGCAGCCCGGCCGGTGGGGCCCATCTCTGACGTCCGTCTCCCCCACCCTGCAGGTTCGAGCTCATGCAGGTGTGCTGGCACTTCAACCCCAAGATGAGGCCTTCGTTCCTGGACATCATTGGCAGCATCAAGGACGAGCTGGAGCCCGGCTTCATCGAGGTGTCCTTCTACTACAGCGACGAGAACAAGCCGCCCGACACCGAGGAGCTGGACCTGGACGCCGAACACCTGGAGTGCGTGCCCCTGGACCCCTCGGCCTCCTGCTCCTCCCTGCCGCTGCCCGAGCGCCACTGCCCGCACCACCACCACCACCACCACGAGGGCCACGAGCGCTACTGCCGCCACCACCACGAGGGCCGAGAGCGTTACTGCCGCCACCACCACGAGGGCCGCGAGCGCCCCTGCCCGCACCACCGCCCCGAGAGCGGCCGCGAGCGCGAGCGCCCCTGCCCGCACCGCCCCGAGAACGGCATTGGCCACCGCGTGCTGGTCTACCACCGGGCCAGCTTCGACGAGAGGCAGGCGTACGCGCACATGAATGGGGGGCGCAAGAACGAGAGGCCCGTGCCTCTGCCGCAGTCCTCCACCTGCTGAAGTGGGACCCGGTCCCGCGGAGCAGGGCCCCATGTGTGTGTGTGTGTGCGCGTGCGTGTGCTTGGCGGGCGGGGGGCGGGCCCCCACCATCTGGTCACGGCCTCCTGCGCCCCCGAGGTCTGCAGCACCGCCCTGCTGCCCACAGGCCTCTCTGCCGTACACACACACACACACAGGGGATGTTCCTTTTTTTCAATATGCAAGCAGATTATTGCCCTGCCCAAACCCTTAACTGACACGGGCCTTTAAGAACCTTAATGACACTTAAAGCAACAGAACACTAGAGAATCGAGTCTCCTCACTCCTTCTCTGCCTCTCTCTGATCTCTCTCTGATCTCTCTATCTCTCTCTCTCTCTCTCTCTCTTTCTCTGCTTCATAATGGAAAGAACATTGCCACAAGCCCAGCCGATGGAGGAGAGGGCTGGGCCGCCCCCGTGGCCCCCTCTTGCTCCCATGCACACCTGCCTGTCCCCGTGGGTTCCTTCCCTAACACACGTTGCAACGGCATTTTCCTTTTTAAAAACTGTACCTTCAACCTTTTTAGGGACACACGGCATTGACCAAGGGCCATCGTTCATCCCAGGGCTGTTGCCGTTGTAACGCTGCCAAATTCTGCCAAAACCCGGGACTCCGTCCCTCGCACCTGCCCCCCCTCCCCCCCCATTTCCTGGTGGCGGGCGGGTGGCGGGCATGTGCCGTCTCCGGTCACTCCTGTGACAGCCACGCGGGCGGTGCCCTCCATCCCGTCGTCCCCGGGGATTCTTGGCAAGTCTCACGTCCACGCAGGTCAGTTTGCCTTTGACTAGGTTATTCTCTGGGGGAACTGGACGGACGGGGCCGGGCTTCCCTGGGCCACCTCCCCACCCCCACCTCCTAGCCCCAGGGACTCGGCCCCAGACAGGCCCTTTGAGGGAGCAAAGGTGGCTCACGTGCTAGTCTCCTGCCCGCCCCCCAGAGCCCCTCCCGGCCCCCAAGGATGCAGAGGAGCAGGGGTTCCCCGGGACAGAGCCCAGCGGTTCACGCAGGTTTGCGAGCAAAGCAATGCAGACACACCCCCGCCCCCCGGCCCCGTCTCGGGGAGGGCAGTGCGGGATGCAAGCTGCCCGAGCCTTTGACATGTTCCGTTCCCAGGACTCGGCGGGTCCTGCGGTTCTAGGTCAGACTCGAAACATTTGCGTACACATTTCGTCTTTCACGTCATCACTTTGATAACTTTTTTACGGTTCAGATCCTCATCTATACGTCTGTACAGAAAAAAAAAAAAGACGGCTGCTATTTTTATTTTGTAGTTTTCGGTTATCTTTGTGGATCTATTCTATGAAAACTTTCAGGTCTCCCTCTTTCCCTCTCTGCTCTCTCTCTCTAAGCTTCTGCTTTCGACTAGATGCGTCTCTTCCTCTCCCCCCAGGAATGGGCTCTCGTAGATCGGCGTTTGCCATGAACTGCCTGTGATGCCTTTTCGTAACTCTGCTCCCCCGCTCTCTGCTTCCCCCGCCCCGGCCCCCTGCTAGATCTGTTACAACCTGTAGGCTCTGTGGGCACAGGCTGGCTGGCGAGGGAGGCGGGTGGAAAGGGGGTCCCTTCCCCCGCCCGCCTGCCCTCGCCCGGCATTGGAGTCTGTTACTGTGCCAGCCGTAGACAACCTCAGGTCCAAACACAAAGGTCAAGTACTTCCCACGCCTGTTCAGTGTTCCTCGTCGTCGCTGTGGGAAAGAGCCCCCTCCCCTCTTTCCCTGGCCCCTTCCTTTCGGATGTGACACACTTTTTGTAATTTTTATGTTTTAATTCTCGGGTACAACAGCAGTTTGAACTGCAGATACTAGTCATTTGAATTACATTTCTTTCTTTTTTTTTTTTTAGTGGATATTTAATCCTTCCATCCTACGAAAAACAGCTGCTAAATCTAAGGGTGCCGTGGAGTGTGGTCAGTGGCGTGCCGCCGCCGCCGCCACCCTCCAGACCGACCTACCTGTCTGTCCTGAGAACCAGGAAACCCCCAGGGACCCCCCCTCCCCCCCGCACGGGGCGCCAGGGGCTGCTGGGAGAGGGCCAGGCTGGGGCAGCGCCCCCAATGGCCCAGGAGCCCCATGCTCACCCCAGGGGACCAGGGCCCTGGCGCTTGCCCTGGGCCGGGAAACAAGTCCTCAGGGCCCCGGCGTCTTTCGTTTCGGTTTATTTTGTTTTGTTTGTTGGTTTTTTTAGCGCTTCTCACCAGAGCGATTGACGTATGACCGCACAGAGTTGCTTCTGGGATGGAAATGTTTAAGTGATGAGTGAGAACAAAGCTCAAGTCGGGTGATGGCTAGTCGGGATTGGAGATGAAACACGAGAAGGAAAATTGGGAGTCGTTTCAGCCCCAGGATTGTCTCTAGCCCCCGTCCCCACAGTTTTTTCCCCTTAAGACACTGCGTCAAAGAGAAAGGTTCGTTGAGAAGGCGTATGTAGGAGCTTCCGTTTGATTTCTGATTCCGGTTTCAGTCGCTGTGAGAGCAGCTCAGCCCCCTGATGGATTTCGATACTGGCACGAGGGTTTCTGTGTGCGTAAGAAGGGACAGTTTTTATTTTTTTGGGTTTTTATTTTTTTTTTTCAAACATGTATCTACCTCACACTTCTTTTTTATATGTGTATATACAACAAGGAATACATCTCACATTTCTCAGCACCTGACAATACGCCATGGGTACCGGTACCTCATCCACGCACAGGCCGCGCACGCCCGTGACCGGGGCCAGGCCAGGCTGCATTCCGGGGCCGCAGCTGCGCTTCCCCGCCTCTCCGCTCCTGTCCAACGGCTTGCCTCTCCCTGCGCTGTCTCCTCTGGCCTTGCTCTCTTCTTCTTCTGACTCGGTTCCCTACGAGGTTGTGAGGTGTCAGGATTCCCCCCTCTTGGCCCAGTGTCCCCCACTCAGCAGGGAGGTGAGGGAACCCCACCCCCACCCCCCAGCAGCTCAGTGGGAAGGAAGGCCCCTCGGCTGTCCCAGCCGGTTGTCCTTGAACCCAGTTGCTTTGTGCAGACGGAATGGCGAGCCCATTCCGTCCCTGGAGCAGTGATTTCGGGATTTAGGGGCCAGGAGGCGGCCAGGGGCGGCCGTCTCTGTTAGCCCCCACCTGCTAGGCACAGGTGGGGGCCGGCTCCATCGGGCGCCACGCTGGCTGCCCTGGACGGGGCCTGTGCCAGGCGGCCAGACGGTCCCTGTGCGCCAGGCACTCGGAGAGCCCCGTCCGCCAGGCCTCCTGTTGAGAATAGGAGGTCCCTACCTCCCAGCCAATCCCTTCCAGAATGTTCTGTGGAGAAAAGTCCCCGTCCCCCCGGTCTCCAGAATGTTCTCTGAATTCCCCCCTCCTTTCCTCCTCCCTTTCAGGGGGAGACGAAGATGTACCAAGCCTTCGGGCTGGAGGGGGGCGGTGCTAGGCGCCAAGCCGCTTTCTGGGGTGTCGGGGTGTCGCAGCTCCCACCAGGCCTTGCCTCTGTCCCTCTGTCCTGCTGCTCACGGGGGTGGATGGCGTTACCCGGTTCCAACAGCTGCTCTCAGGCCCTGGTGATGTGATCTGGGCGACACGACTCGGGGGGGGAAGCCTCCCTCCCGCAGGGACACCCCTCCCCTCTCCCCACGCCCTTGGGACCTCGAGGTCACCGAGAAATGCTATCTGATGGGGGTTCCCCTCACCCACGCTGCCGGGGAACCCCCCGGGTTGGTGGCCTCCCCTCTTTTGCACATACCTTCCGGTTCCCACGACTGGACCCGTCCAGTCCATCCAGGCGGTCCCAAGGGTCTCTCGTTCCACGCGTCCGAGCTGTTGGTGTGGTCATGTTATCGTTTGACGTCGGTGGTTTTTCTTTGAGTAGAAAGCAAACACTAACCAGTCGTAGTGCGCATCGTAACCAAGGCTTCCGCGGCGCTGCAGTTAGAGAAACAAACGCTTGCTTGCGTGAGGGTGCGGTCATCCTACTGGACCAAGCCACCCCGGGACCCGCCCGCGAGGCCAGGGTCCCCGCCTCCCCTTGATTTTTTGTTTTTTTTCTCTTTCGTACGCTCCGAATCATTCACTCGAGCCGAACCGGGGCATTTCCCACGCGGCCTCCTCCCGCCAGCAGCTCCCGCTGCTCGAAGCCGCACGGACCACGGAGGCGCATCATGGAGCCGATGTGAGCGTCCGCCATCGCCATGGTGCGCGCGGCCCTCCCCGGGCGCAGCGGGAGCGAAGCCGGCCTGTCCTGGAGACGCTGTCCAGGCCCCTCGGGGCGAGGCCCCGGCCTCCCAGGTCTCCTTTACCGGGTGTCGTGACCTTGGACACAGTTGAGATGAGCTTCCTTGGAGGAGAAGGAGGCGAGAAGATGGGGTTCATGGCCAACGCTGGCCTCCCCTTCCAGCCCGTTTCGTGGCGCGAACGAGGTTTCCAAGGTCGGAGAAGCGGCGTGGGGAAAAGAAGAGCGGTTCTGGTGGAACTGCCGCCCGGCAAGATGCTTGGCAGGAACTGGTTGGTGTGCTCTGGTGGGCGCCACGCATCCACGAGCCAAGTCCGGTGCCAAATCCCAGGCCAGTGGGTCCCACCGACGCCTTTCTCGGCAGCCCACCTCCGTCGGCGGGTGGGCGCGTGGCACAGGCCACACGAGCTCCCGGGGCGAGAAGGTCGTCCCCGAGCGGCCAGAGGATGGAAGGCAGCTCCTTCCCAAGTCAGAGGCCCCTCCCAGCGGGCAGCAGCCCTCCGCGCCCTGCCTGGGCCTGTCCCAGGGGCGCACGCATGGCCTGGGGCCCGTCCTCCGGTCCATGTTGCCTCTGTGCGCGGCGGCAGCTGTCGCACCGTCTCCCGGGCCCCGCAGCCCCGGGAGATCCGGACCGGAGACCCGCTCTTCGAAAGAAGCAGCGATGAAAGGCCCACGTCCTCACTCCAGGCGGGACACAGTCGCTACAAATGAGACCGAGAAAGGATGCCGCTTTGGACCGAACCCCTCTGTTGCCGGAGACACTGAAGATACAGAGGACAGGCCAGAGGGGGTCACGCCTGGCCCCCAGCTCGGATGACAGCGCCGGTCCTGGTCCTGCGGAGAAAAAGCAGATGGACACTCCTTGATGGTGGGAAGAGCCGAGCCGGAGCGGAGAGAAGAATGGCGAGCGCCAGGGCCCAGGACCCGGAAGCAGTGCGGGCCACGCTCTGAGATGGACGGTTTCCTGAAGGCGTCAGACCAGGTCCGGACTCGGGAGTCATCCATGGGCATTTGTCTTCAGCGGACACCCCGGCGCCCTGCGTGGGGGACTGTGACTTCGGAGTTCAGTGCAATCGTCAGAGGACACGAACTCCGCATCACGCCCGTCAGTGGTCGGCTCTGGGGCATGACTTTAGGGTTTTCTTTTTGTCGTTTAAGCAAGAATATGATTACTCATCTATATTTTTTTGTTGGTTTTTTTTTTGATTACTCATCTATATTTTTTTGAGTTTTTTGATTACTCATCTATACTTTTTTGTTGGTTTTTTTGATTACTCATCTATACTTTTTTGTTGGTTTTTTTGATTACTCATCTATATTTTTTTGGTTTTTTTGATTACTCAGCTATACTTCTTTGTTGGTTTTTTGATTACTCATCTATAATTTTTTTGTTGGTTTTTTTGATTACTCATCTATTTTTTGTTGTTGTTGTTGTTTTGATTACTCATCCGTACGGCCACGTTGGTGTGTGTCCTCATTTTTCTGGTCAGCATCGTTTTAATTACTCACACATTAGCATTTTCAGTAGGGCTCTCATGTCCAGTAGATACGGGTAGTCAGTCGACGAAGATCTGGTTTACAAGAACTAATTCAACGTTTCATTGCATTTTTGTAAGGACATAGAATAATTTTATACAACGTTTGTAGTCCGTAATCGCCGAAATAATTTAAAGACACTTGGGTTCTCCGTGCAAATGTATGCTCATGATCCATTTATTTTTTTTTTATAGGACACCTGTTTACTAGCTAGCTTTATGAGATGCCAAAAATGCATTTTTCCCTGCCCCCAAGCCCTGCATAACCCTTTTTACATCCCCCCACCCCCACCCACGCTTCAGGCCCTAGTTTATAGCAAAGGAAGGATGGCGATTTCAGTAGTTCTGTATCTTCAGTATCTTGGGTCTTCCCGAACCTTCTGGTTGGGAAGGGGATCATCATTTGCTGGTCATTTATCTTTGGAGTGTAGCTACTTTAAGAGACTGAAGGAACCTCACTGGCCAAGGAACCAGCGGGGGTGCTGCCGCCCAGCGGTGCCCGGCGGTGCGCCCGGCACTCGGCATCTGGGGCGGCTGTTGCCATGGTTGCGGGACGCCTCGCGATGGAGCGGCTGACAGCACAGCTCCGCGGCGTCACGGCGCTGGCCGCACGCAGACTTACCACGCAAGACGGTAATTCTGGTGCCGGCAGACTGTTCGCTTACATGCCTCATATTATGATTGATGCTTTGTTATATAACCAGAGACTCTTATTTTTTAAGGCACAACACCGAAGATACATTTTTTCCAATACAAAACAAAGTTGAATAAAAACTACACACACACAATTTTTTTAAAGTCTGACTCCATTTCCTCTTGCGCCCAGTGGGTTATGGGCCACGTCTACACAATGCCACAAAAGCCCCGCCATTGCTAACGGGGTGTTTTGCACAACACGGGAGAAAGGTCCAGATACAGTATTTTCTGTTTGCAACTTGGCATTCGGATGTTTGGTGTTGCGTAGACGCGTCCACAGGTGGAATAGATGCTTGGCGAAAACACCTGTGTGCTTTGTAAGCCAGTGGGGTTGACATGAGAGGTTTGCCAGAGTTTGTCCTCTGGGAAAAAATTTTTAAAAAAAACAAACAAAATCAAACCAGAAGGCGCGATAGAATGGATGTATTGCAGATCATTTATTTTCTGAGTTTTCTTGTTTAAAAAAAAAAAGTTTTTTAAAATGTTTTTAAAAACCGGTAATTGACACAGCCAATTTGTTACGTAAAATGACTTTCTGTGTACAAATTATTCCTAAAAACTTCCTCTGTTTATATACAAAAAAATCAGTAGCTAAAAAAAAAAATTTCAAAATGGTTTTGTATACTCCATTGTAAGAATTTATCCCTGTTCTCGCGATATACTCTGGATTCTTTACATTATGGGGGGAAAAAAGAAACTTTGTCTATTTTGAATGGCTGAAGCTAATGCGACTTTAGTTTATCTTACTCTGCTTTTTTCTAGTAGTTCAAGTATTACATCGTTTACGTTCAATAAAGGAATTCAGTATGCACTTCTGGCCTCCAATTTTGTTTGCGCCTCCGTGCAAGACTCACCACGCTTCTGAGGCAGGGGCGCTGAGCTGCGTGTGGCATGCGTGTTCATACGTGTCGCTCGGAGGTGTTCAGCGTGATGGTTCTGCTTTATTTCTGACAGACAGCTGAACCCTCACAGCATGCAAATTGCTGGTGAAGACGGGGGAGCATTCTGTTTCTCACTCCATTAAATCAGCTACGAGAAAATCTGAATACCGAAAATACAGAAATCTGTACTTCCGTTTCCACTGATCTGTAGATTTTTCCTACACCTTCCACGGACAAAAGTCAGGCCAAGGGGGGCAGCTTGATCTGGGGGACCCTGGGGCAGAGGACTTGACCTCCACATTTCCGTGTCGTTGTTGGTACCTCACAGCCAGCACGCCTAGGATGCGGCTCGGTGGAGGTGTTCACAAGTGTTCGCTCCTCACAAGTTCATGGCCTCGGGCTGCCCCGAGGACTCTACAGCCCAGGCCGCATGATCTTTGCCAGGGAAATGGTCACGGTGGGAAATGTGAATACACGTTTAAAGGACACAAGCTGTGCCCGGCTGACGTGGCTCCGTGGTTGAGCGTCGACCTATGAACCGGGAGGTCACGGTTCCATTCCCCGTCAGGGTGCACGCCCGTTTGGCGGGCTCGCCCCACCGTTGGGGCCGTGCGGGAGGCAGCCCATCAGTGTGTCTCTTTGACATCGATGTTTCTCCGTCTCTCCCCTCCCTTCCATTCTCTCTAAAAATGAATGGAAAGACATCTGTGGGTGAGGAGTAACAAAAAAATAAATTCTCAAGCTCGGTGTGCACCCTGGTATTTGCTCACCGTTGGCAGGAAGTGCTTGGCCCTCCGGGGGCCGTCACTAGACGACCAGTGACTAAAGGCAGGCTCGTTTCCCAGGCTCCGGGGTGTCTGGGCTGCGGGCAGGGTCACAGGAGGCCCGCGTGCCTCTCCCACGTCCCCAGGCGGGTTCACGCTGCCTCCCGGGCTGCTGTGGTGAGCTCTGCACCTGTCCTCAGAAGCGTGAAGGCGCTGGGTCTTCAGAAGTGTTAGGAGGACCTGTCCCCACCGTGCCACTTCCTGAGACCTCAGGTCCAGCAGGGCCGTTCCTCTTCCTCCTCACGGGTCCGGCAGCAGCCTGGTGGCCTCCCATCACTGAGGGACCTTCACCTCCATTCTCTCACTGCATCTCTGTAACAACTCTGCGGAGGAGGCATTTTTATTAGTTTCAGAGATGAGCCAACGGGCGGCCATGCCCAAGATTGGCCCGGGGGCCAGTAAATGACCAATCCAAGGCTCGGCCTTTCCCGCTGTGGTTTTCAAACAGACTCAGAACTCCCGCACATTCCTAACTAACCAGGCCCCGGTGTGGATCAGTGAGGGGGAGTGAGGTGGCAGGCCACTCAGCCCGGGACGCGGGCCTCTGGGGTTCTCCCTCAAGAATTTCGGAGGCCACGAGGGGGAGAAATGACGCATTCAAGAGGGAGCTCTGGGCCTACCCACAGAATCACGTCTAAAAGTTTGTGACGTGTGTATGGCTTGGTGCCAAGCCATGTGAAGTAACACAGGAGCCGGGACCGGAGGCCCCCTGCTTGCCACTGTCCTGAGACGGGAACTAGAATAGGGAGGGGCGGGGGCATCAAGGGCTCTGGGGAGCAGCGTTTGCCTACAAATACGGAAGGATCTGCGCACGAACAACTGTGCTGGCCAGACCATCCCACCCCCACTTGCTGGCTTTGCTAGGCTACACCGTGACTTGGGCCTGTGGTATGTCCAGCGACCACATTCATTTGCCAAAGAGGTCCTATAAGGTCTCTCCCACACGCACAAGCGCGCTGGAGGGCTGATGCTAAAACAAGCAAGGCCTGCCCAGTCCCCTGGTTATGAAGTTGCAGATACTGTTTCTTAGAGTGAATGAATCTGAGCACTAAGTGACATTATTTTTTAAACATAATGAAGTGAAAAGTAATGGCTGCGAGCACACCGAGATAGTAAGAACCTTCCCAGAGCTTAACCACCTTCAGTCCTTTCCTCTAAACGTGTTGCTAACGGGGCTCCCGGTGGAAATTTGCTTACAAGAAAGCACTGGGCAGGTAAAACCTGACCATGAGCCAGGGCAGTGTCATGAAAGATGAAAAGAGGAGAGAAGCAAACCTAGCTATTAACCTTTGCTCTAAGACCAAACACTGCAGGTAGGAATAGAAAAATGGTGCGGTTGCCCTAGAAAACAGTATGATGTTACCACCATTTTTTTTTTTAAGTTGAAAAAGGACAAGAAAAAAAGAAACACATGAGACTCGGTGGCTCAAAGGTGCCCACAGCGCCTGGATGTCAGAGCTCAGAGGTCAGGAATGGGGCACCAAGAGGTGACCACACCTGTATGTCCCCACGGCCAGGTGGTCATGGGCCAGCCCACCGCTGCATCATCTTGTCTAAGAGGAAAAAAAAAAATGACTAGGATTTCATTTCACTGTCATGAAAACCATAACCGGAGCTAGTTGATTCCTGGTGAAATGTCTGCCTTTCAGAGTGTTGTCCTGCCTTCTGACTATAAAATAACTCTGTGACTTCATAGGGCTAATTCAGAACTTGTCCCTCCGTGTAAACTGAGGATTTTTTAAAACGCCTCGCCAAGCACAGCTGAACTCTCCACACAGGACTGACACATTCCCTTTTCTCCAAAGGGGCAGCACCCGGGTTGGTTCTCCCTGGCTGGAACCACCGAGGCTTGTTTTGTGGGCACCAGGCTTTGACCTTGGGCGTTCTCACCCTCCTCCAGCATCTCCTGGATGACGGCTTGCAGGGCTTTTCCCAGCAGGCTGGCGGGGAGCCCCGGAGACAACGGGGGCACGTGGATGAGCGCCGCACGCCCATCTCCGAGATGCAAAGACAGGTAGTAGGTGTAATCGCAGACGTATCTGCAACCGCAGGAAACCCAGGTGACTCCTTGGACCAGAGAGAGGTCAGCAGCGGTGGGGGGACTGCCACCCAGGGAGACGGAGGTCTTGTCCTTCTGCCTCAGAAAGAAGATGTTGCCCTAACCGGTTTGGCTCGGGGGATAGAGCATCGGCCTGCGGACTGAAGGGTCCCAGGTTCAATTCCGGTCAAGGGCATGTACCTTGGTTGCGGGCACATCCCCAGTAGGGAGTGTGCAGGAGGCAGCTGGTCGATCTCTCTCATCGATGTTTCTAACTCTCTATCCCTCTCCCTTCCTCTCTGTAAAAAACCAATAAAATATATTTTTTAAAAAAAGAATAGTTCAACCACCACATTGGCTGCAATCAATAAAAATAAAGCACCCCCAAACTATGAACCCTAGGATGCAGTGTGGGGGGACAACAGGCGAGTCTGCAAGGACCACCCTGGGGGGGGGGCACTGGGTGCCCAAGTGCCCAGTGGAAGGGCACACGGGGGCCTTTTCGAAAGGAGACATCCTAGAAGAAAGATGGGTCAGGCCGGCCGGTGTGGCCCAGTGGTTGAGCCTCAACCTGCGAGCCAGGAAGTCACCGTTCCATTTCCGGTCAGGGCACACTCCCCAGGTTGCGGGCTGGATCTCCAGGAGGCGGCCTGCAGGAGGCAGCCGATCCATGATGCTCTCCCTCTCCCTTCCTCTCTGAAATCAATAAAAATATATTTATTTAAAAAAAGAAAAAAGAAAAAGAAAGGAGGGTCATCCTCTCCTTCCTGCTCAGTGACGCGAAAAAACGCACCTGCCCGCATCACGGGAGAACATCACCTCCACGCCCTCCACAGCCACGCGCCTGCTGACCGCCTTCATGTTGACCCGCGACTCAATCACTTCCGGGCCATCCGGACGCACACGCCGTGCTCGGGCCGGAAGCCACGGACGTCGGTCTCGCGATACCCGCGGTTCCGGCCGCGCTGCTCGAGAACCACGGCCTTGGCGGCGGCGTCCACGCCCACGTGCACGGTGAGCTGTGCGAACAGGGGCGGCGGGGAATTTAGGGAAACTGAGGCCTGTCTGTCACCTTCTATCCCGACGGCCCAGCCGGGGGCGGGAGCGAGGCGGGGAAAACCTCTCAAACCGCGACTGCGCTTTCGGGCCTCCTCCCTCCTTCCCCTCATTCGTAGGCCGCGTGGAAAAGCCGCCGGATAGAAAACCATGAGGCGTCGTCTATTTAAATGCTCTTATATTTAAAAATATCCGTACACAGGGTGGAATATTCCTCTGTGTCCCCCCCCCCCCCCTTCCGGGGGTCCCCGCTGCTCTTCTGGAGACCACAGGGGAACGCCCTGGCGTTGCCTTGGCAAACGCTGAGGCAAGGAAAGTCGGGCTCAGAAATGTCTTGAAACGGGTTGTTTTTCCTCTTGGAAAACACAGCTAAGCGTTTTCGTCGAGGCCCTTGGGGCGTTGTCTCAATAGGGTGGAGGTGTCTGTTTTGTTCCTCTCGCCTCTCGTCGCCTGGGCTCTGTAGTATTTGCGGGATATTTGAACCCCGTTTTGTATATAAGTAGCTGTTGGGATAAGATGGGCTGGGTCAGCGGTTCTCAACCTGTGGGTCGCGACCCCTTTGGCGGTCGAAGGACTCTTTCACCCGGGTCGCCTAAGACCATCCTGCATATCAGATATTTACATGACGATTCATAACAGTAGCAACATGACAGTGGTGAAGTAGCAACGAAAATAATTTTATGGTTGGGGGCCACCACAACAGGAGGAACTGTATTTAAAGGGCCAGAAGGTTGAGAACCACTGGGCTGGGTGTAAGGCAGGTGGCCCTCCCCGGGGCCCACGAGGTCCCACTTCACAGCGACCTTCCCTGCATGGGCGTGGCTGGGAACTAACCCGAGGCCTGTCTGTTAGGGAGAAACTTATCTTTGGAGTCCTGGC